GTCCTGTCTGGATGCGGAACTCAGGTCTGCGAACGCCAAAGCTCTCCTCATCGATGCTGGCGGGCTCGTTATCAAAAGACGATCGATTGTGGTATGACCAGTTCACTTCAACCGATTGGGTGCACGACAGCATTGCAGACGGATACCGTGTCCTGGAACTGAAGAAGCGGAAAGGGTGGCGGGGACGCCTGGGATTACTCCTCGATTCAGCCCAGGGATGGGTCCTCGTTGCTCTGATCGGTGTGGCTACAGCCGGCATAGCATACTTTGTCGACGTGACGGAGTCGGCAATCTTCGATATTAAGCGTGGCTTTTGTCGAGGCGCCTGGTACCTTGGGCGCACAAACTGCTGTGCTGGAGGACGCAACTGTGACAGATGGAGGACCTGGTCCGAACTCATTCACCCGTCAGGCATGGACGATGTTCATTTCAACTACCTGGCATTTATCATCGGATGTGTGACTCTCGCAGCCCTGTCATTCTTCATCACCCTCTACTCTAAGACCGTTGTACCTTCGCAAATTGCCTCTACCTTCGACGAGAACCTGGGCGCTGTTCAGCAGAACGTAAATAATGAGGCGGATGAGGACAAGTCAGGGGGTGCTCAGCAACCACCAGCCCAAGACCAGCCACCCCCGAATGTCTACTACTCGGCCGCTGGAAGTGGTGTCGCAGAAGTTAAGGTCATTCTGAGTGGCTTCGTCCTCCATGGATACCTCGGTCTTCGGGTTCTGGTCCTGAAAACAATCGCTCTCATTCTAAGCGTGGCATCAGGGATGAGCCTGGGCAAAGAAGGTCCCTACGTCCATATAGCGACGTGTGTGGGCAACATCGCTTGCAGGTTGTTCGCCAAATACAACCTCAATGACGGTAAGAGAAGGGAAGTCTTATCGGCCAGCGCGGCGGCTGGGGTTGCTGTCGCTTTTGGTTCACCCCTGGGTGGAGTTCTTTTCAGCCTGGAAGAAGTCAGCTATTACTTTCCACCAAAGACGCTGTTTCGAACGTTCTTCTGTTGCATTGTGGCCGCATTATCCCTCAAGTTTCTGAACCCATATGGGACGTCCAAGATTGTCTTGTTTGAGGTCCGTTACATCACCGATTGGCGTTTCTTCGAGCTTCTCATTTTCATGTTGCTCGGCGTTGCGGGCGGTCTGGCGGGGGCGCTCTTCATTAAAGCCTCTAGGTTCTGGGCAACTACGTTTCGCCGCATCAAAGTCATCAAGTCCTATCCAATGCTGGAAGTTCTCCTCGTGGCACTCGTCACGGGCCTCATCAGCTTCTGGAACCGGTACACGCGGCTAGCAGTCAACGAACTTCTTTTCGAGCTTGCGAGTCCATGTCAGAAGCATTCGGCGACGGGTCTCTGTCCTAACACCGAGGATGAAATGCTGGGAGTCATCGGCTATCTGAGTGTAGCATTTGTCATCAAAGCTTTCCTTACGATAATCACGTTTGGGATCAAGGTGCCTGCCGGCATCTATGTGCCATCGATGGTGGTTGGTGGTTTGATGGGTCGCATTGTTGGTCACCTGACCCAGTATGTTGTGGTCAAGCTTCCAAATTTCTTCTTGTGGTCGCACTGTCGGGACTCGGGGAATATCGAAGCATGCGTCACGCCCGGGGTGTATGCCTTGGTGGCGGCCGGTGCTACCATGTGCGGTGTCACACGTCTCTCGGTCACACTGGCGGTCATCCTCTTTGAATTGACCGGGAGCCTCGACCACGTACTGCCTTTCTGTTTGGGGGTGCTCTGCGCCAAATGGACGGCGGACGCTGTCGAGCCCCTTAGCATATACGACCTGTTGACTGACATGAATTCGTATCCCTTCCTAGATAACAGGAGGACTCCGGTCTTCGACTCGGAACTCGGAGACATCACGCCCCGGTTCCGACGGGACAAAGTGATTGACATTACGATATCCCCTCTTGTCAAGGCCGGTGATCTGAGAGCCAAACTTCGACGCTTACAGAATCTTGGCGAACTCGACGGCGGTCTGCCTATCATCCGAGACAAAAAGTTGGTCGGGCTGATCCCGGCTCCAGACCTGGAGTTTGCCTTGGACAGGGTTGAAGATGAGGACAATGCGTTCTGCTTGCTCTCCACCGAGGATCATGCGCACAATACGCATCGGCGCTACTGGGAAGCGTTCGAGGAGGCTGGCTATGATTCGGGACGGGACGACTCTGACGATCAAGACTCGCCAGCCACAAATCCGACGGATTTGACTTCTTATATCGACCCTGCTCCAGTGGCCCTGGACATGCATTCGCCAATGGATCTTGTGTATCAATGTTTTGTCAAGTTGGGTTTGAGATATATCTGTGTATTGAACGAGGGTGAGTTTAGGGGGATGGTGCATAAGAAGGCATTTGTGAGATATATCAAGACCTTGGAGCATGAGGGAAGTCACCGTTGATGGGGTGCGAGATTGAACCCAGCAACCAGCCGCCAAGACCCAAACTCTGGACGAAGAACAAGGGCATGATCACCCGAGCTCGAAGAGAATCTTTGACTCTTCGGCTTGTGTATTTTCTCACTTGACTATTGCCTTAGAAGGCATGGGCTTTATGGGGATACAGCCTCACAGCCTAGAGATTGGGATATATTCGCATAGCGGGGCGTTTAGCGGAGCAGGGTTTTAGTGTCTGGTTTTCTAAGAGGCATGTCTCATAAGATCTCAATCTGGTATAGCATCGCAAGACCAACTTTTGTTTTAGGTTAGTGAGTAACGTATTAGAAGGTACAGGGGAGAACGAGGTCGAGCACCATGGTGTCTTCGTTTGGAGATCATCTGTCTACGGAGTAACAACAATGCGCAGCCATAGGCATACCCAGGTAGGTAGGTACCTTTCATGACCCGTCTAAGCCCCCCCCGCGCAGTGAAATTTCTAGCTCAGGTTTTCTCCCCTTTAGAGAAGGGCCCCTAAGGGGTGAGGCTTATGTGCTTGGGATAGGCAAGTTACATGGACAAAGCATCCAGGTTCCCATGCAGGCAGGCAGGCAGGCAGGCAGGCAGGCGGGCAGGTAGGTAAGAAGGTAGCGTACGTACCTAGGTAATATTGAATTCAATAATACTCGGCACGAATAATAGAACCTCGTAATGTCGTGAGTGAACCAATCATAAACGCGGGCTGCGGACTTCTAAGTGGGTTGGTTTGTTGGTCCCAGGCTGTGGGTTATAGGAGTCATACGTATGATACATCCATCCATCCATCCATCCATCCATACATACATACATACATACATACATACATACATACATACATACATACCTGGGTACAGAGTGTCTAGTACCAGATACCTCGCACGGGTAACGAGGTACCTCGCTGCTACGTAATAATGAATAGTTGCTATAATCACGATACTGAAGGGGGGGGGAAGGGGGGGCATTTCGTCAGGATTGTCTCTTTGTTTTGCTTTTGTTCACCATCCGTTTGCAGTCTCTTTTTCTCTTTTGCTTCAGTACGCGGTACCCACCAAGGTAGGTAGACAGGTAGGCAGATAGGTACATCGGTAGATTACTGGACAGGTACCTCTGCAAAGGCAAAATCTCAAAAATACAATAGTACAACAACCCAGCTAATTGGAAGGTACCATCATTCATGAATTCTGTAATAACTCGGCATGACGAAGAGGAGGCTGGGACAAAGGATTAGATTTGCTTCCTTTTCCTTCCGCCCTTCCCCCCAACAAAAAAGCTTCCCTGATTTTCCTGCTGTTCTTGCTACATGCCTGCCTGTACTCGTTACTTGTTGTCCTCGCTTATATTTGCGTACGTGTAGAATTCATGGCGCGAACTTGTATAGTCGACGTAGTGGACTGGCTTACCTGGGTTTGTTGGATGTTTGGGAACAATCGACTTGGTATCGCGCAAAGAGAAGGGTGACTCTGATCTTTGTGTTTGTTTTCTTTTCCTCGCCCCCGTATTCCTTCCCTACTGCTCATTGGCGTTCCCTGGCAAGTTAAGATTTGCTTTGCACTGGTTGTTGTGGTTCACTCCGACTTCAGCCCCGACTTGTTTTCCTGTATCTATGCCATTTCTCCTACACGCGTGGTGTATAAGGTCGTGGTTTGCTGTCTGCCTTGGCATGCTCGCCAGCGTTCTAGGCACCCCATATTGACCATTCGTAGATCTCATCCTCTGCAGAAAAGTCCTCGTTGCAGGCTGCGTGAAGCTCCAGAGCTAGCCCGACCTGAAAGGTATTTGCACAGAGATGCTCTGGGTCTCCCACCAAGAAGCTTGCGAATGAGAGGGGCCGTGGTGGGAGTAACAATGCTGAACAAAAAGTCTCTTCAAAGTTCTGTGCGACTCGTTCCTGGAGGTGGGAAGATCGCATTGGTTCCATACGGAGGCTGTCAGGTGTCGAGTCAGAAACCCAGCTTGACGTTCTCGTGAACACAACCCAGGTAAATACTGCTCGCCTTCTCCCCACAACTGTTGAGCATATATATTGAATCCCGTGCTCCCATCCTCATTATCAGATCTCTCCTTCCCAAACTATTTCGATCCTTCCCTCCATTCATTAACTCCTTACTTTCCGCGACCTCGTAATCTTTCGTTCCCTCGTTGAAATAGATCCTATACCTTCCTGAACACATTCACTAATCAAACATCAACACTGCGAGACGCGTCTACCACGCCACACTCCTTCGTCCACGACTGTCAAAAAAGATGTCGGTCTCTCAACAAACAAATGCGGCTGACGCTGAGGATCTCATCGGCTCAGCACAGCATATCGAATATGTCGATACACACAACGCTTTCCATGCTGGGATGGAGCAGCAATAACAAGCTGACACAGAGCAACTCGGCTATGTCAGGCTATGGTCTCTGAGACGTGGCAGTACCTCCAGCTGGACTGTCATCAGCGGGGAGACTGTCACTACGAGGGGCTCGGGTTTGAGGCGTACCGGCAACTCTACCAACCCGTTCACTGCAAGCTTTCATCCCGAGAATCCTTTCAGCGACATATATCGATCGGAAAGCTCGAGTTCCAGGATGATGGAACGAAGTATTGATGTCACGGACTCCCGGTCACCAAGCCGTATGCCGGAGTTGACATTGACTCTAGAGCAAGTCGACCAACAAGGCGAAGCGAAACGGCGCATGTTGAAAAGAGGGGCGACCACCGCGAGCAACGACGAGGCGGAGGGGAGAAGCGACTTCCGGGGGCGTATGATGGGGCGGCCCATAGGCTCTCCAACTGCTTCTGAAAGACGAGGACCGCAGTACCAGGCGGCACCACCTTCCAGGATCCAGTTACAACAGCCAGAGTCATCAGACATCGAACGTGAAGCGGCTGCCACCGCTCTCGGCCAGCTCGAAGCCGAGGATTGCCGATTATGCAAAGAACAAGCCTCCGCTGCATTCGCAGGGAAGTGCATGTTGGTGGTCACGGCGGGCATTCTTGAGACAAAGTCCGTACTTGATTTACTACGCGTTCTCGGAAGAGTACAACCAAGGCCACTGTGACGATGAAGGAGCAACAAAAGACCTTCTTGTTTCTATTATTGCTGGCTCTCCCGGTGATTGCAGCTTTGAGCCTGGTATTCCTAGCTTGGCTGGGCTTGAATTCCTTGGGGCCGCCCAGACGACGAGTCAGTGGAGGAGTTGAATATTTCAAGCTTTGGGCGAGCTTTGCATTTCTCACCTCATGTAGCTATTTCCTGATTGCTGCGTTGACCTACAAGTATGTGAAATCATGAGAAAAAATGGCGTCTGGCGTTGAAGAACATAAACGGGGGACTGAGGCTAGCCGTGGAGGCTCTCTGCCAGGTGGCTCCAAAGATTTCGCTGAGGAATGTTGACGGGTACCGTTTTCGGAAGTGGACGAACGCGTGGACGAAGGGGTGCAGCTGTTCGCTGGCCGTCCGCAAGCAGTGTATTCTATTTTCATACACCCAGACATAGAGCATATATTTTATCAGTGAGAGTGAAAATCAAATCAAATGGCAAGTATGATGTGCCTCACAACCATCGTGGAAGAAGAGCAGAGAGAGAGAGACGTTGGTGGGCAATAGCTGTGGTCGCTGAATCGCAGGCTTGGCACGATGGACAACGCGCAGGCGTGTCGAGCCCCGACTGCCACTCCACCGCCTCCACCACCATTACAATCCCAGGATCCCAATCAGGCTCAGCCTCTTCGCATAATCACTGGCTTGGGCGTAGAAGAACCTCTCATTTCCCCGCGAAAGCGAATATCGCGCAGAGACATCGACAACGCTGTGTCCCCTTTCACCCATCAACCTTTGTCATGTGCACATAATTCCAAAAACTCCCAGTCGAGGTCGACCTCCCTCGCTTTCGATTACGACGTCTTCAACGGGGGTCCGAGGAGGCAACCTCCCGCCTCCATCATGGGGAGGGTCGGCCAGACCCTACAAGAAGAGGAGGAGACCCTGATGACCCGTGGCAGCCAATCCTCTGATGATCCATACCCGAGACCTTCGGAAGAAAGTGTCACCACAGTCTCAACAACCTCCCTTGTTCTCGAGAGCTTAAACTCGGCAATCGCTGTGAAAAAGCCTCTACAACCTTCACAATACCGAGACGATGAGAGTGATCCCGAGTTACCCAGATTCAACGACAAGAACTACACCATTGGTGGCCAGCGGATGTCCAAAGGCCTTCGTCGAGCAATATGGATAATCTCGGTTGTTGCTATTGTCGGATGGATCTTGGCGGTGGTCGTTTTTGTGGCAGGTGGCCGGTATAAGCATGCATCGGCGTTGGAATACGACCACGATACCCCAATAAAGAGCTCGGCAAAGAAGGTCACCCTCGACCAAATACAGTCAGGGCAATGGTCACCAAAATATGCCAATATCGAGTGGACGCCTGGTCCCAATGGAGAAGATGGGTTATTGTTGGAGATCAACCAACCCAACAAGGAGTACTTGGTGGTTGAAGACATTCGAAGTCGTACACCTTCCGCAGCCAATGCATTCAAAAGTACGACTCTGGTGAAAAGCGGGTGGATCAAATATGGTGGACAGCAGTTGTGGACATCGGAATTCTGGGTCAGCCCAGATATGAAACATGTGCTCCTGATGGCGAATCCGGCAAAGGTATTTCGACACTCTTTTCTCGGATTGTATTTCATCCTTGACGTCGAGACACAAAATGTCCAACCATTGGACCCTGCGTTCCCGGAGACCCGGATTCAGTTGGCTCAATGGTCGCCCAAAAGTGACTCGGTTGTGTTTACAAGAGAGAACAATCTCTTTCTGAGACATCTCTCGTCGCCCCAAGTGACAACCATCACTACCGACGGAGGTCCCGAGTACTTCTATGGAATTCCTGACTGGGCTTATGAGGAGGAAGTCTTCGGTACCAACACCGCTACATGGTGGGCACGCGATGGTCAATATCTCGCTTTTCTGCGCACAAATGAGACTACTGTCCCCGAATATCCCGTCCAATATTTCCTCTCACGTCCTAGTGGAAAGAAGCCACTCGAAGGGCTCGAGAACTACCCAGAGGTGAAAGAGATCAAGTATCCCAAGGCTGGCGCCCCTAACCCCGTGGTTGATATGCTGTTTTACGACATAGCAAAAGGCGAAGTGTTCTCCGTCGATATTGATGGCGGGTTCCCAAACGAAGACCGGATCATCTTCAACATTGTATGGGCAGATGGTGGAAGAGCACTGGTCTCGGAGTCGAATCGTGAAAGCGATAGGGTCAGGGTTGTTCTTGTAGATGTCGCTTCCCAGACAGGACATACCGTGAGGATTGTGGACCTCAAAGACGTCGATGGTGGGTGGATTGAACCTACCCAGCAGACCAAATACATACCTGCCGATCCTGCCAGTGGCCGACCCGAGGACGGCTATGTCGACATCGTCATCTCCGACAATGGCAACCACCTGGCTTATTTCTCACCTCTCAACAGCTCCATTCCCGTCATGCTGACAAGAGGCAATTGGGAAGTGGACGGAGGACCAGCAGCCGTCGACTTGAAAAATAACTTGGTATACTTTGTTGCGGCCAAAGAAGCACCATCCCAACGCCACTTGTACAGCGTCAAACTAGACGGGACAGCCATGGCTTCCCTTGTTCCTACTAATGAAGCTGCATACTGGGAGTCAAGCTTTTCTTCTGGAGCGGGATACGTGAGCCTGAAATACACTGGACCGGGCATTCCTTATCAGAAGGTCGTCTCTACGCCTGCCAATTCTGAGAGAATCGAGCAAATGCTAGAAGATAATAAGGATCTCGCCAAGATGGCGTCCTCTCACGAACTTCCACACCAGGTGTTCCAGAACGTCACGATTGATGGCTACACGCTCCAAGTTGTCGAACGGCGACCCCCTCACTTTGACCCTAAGAAGAAATATCCTGTCCTCTTCTACCTCTACGGCGGGCCCGGCTCCCAAATGGTCAACCGCCGCTTCCACGTCGACTTTCAGTCTTATATTGCCAGCTCTCTGGGTTACATCGTGGTAACCGTCGATGGGCGTGGAACCGGGTTCATCGGCCGCAAGGCGCGCACCATCATCCGCAACGAGCTCGGCACATATGAAGCCCATGATCAAATTGCCACTGCAAAGATGTGGGCTGACAAGGCTTACGTCGACGCCGACCGCATGGCTATTTGGGGCTGGTCCTACGGTGGCTTCATGACATTGAAAGTCCTCGAGACCGATGCTGGTGAGACGTTTAAATACGGCATGGCAGTGGCTCCCGTTACCGACTGGCAGTTTTACGACTCCATCTACACGGAGAGATACATGCGCACGCCTCAGAACAATCCTCTTGGCTATTCGAAATCCGCAATCAGCAATGTCACTGCAATATCTCAGAACGTGCGCTTCTTGATCATGCACGGCGTCGCGGACGACAACGTGCACATGCAAAACACACTGACACTACTAGACAAGTTTGATCTGGCAGGGATAGAAAACTACGATGTTCATTTCTTCCCCGATAGCGACCATTCTATACTTTTTCACAATGCGAATCATATTGTGTACGACAAGTTGGCGAAATGGCTGGTTAATGCATTTAATGGCGAATGGTACAAGACGGAGGATCCGAAGCCGATGGAGTTGGGAACCTAGATTCGAGAAAACAGGGAAGAGCAATTGTCGGTCGCGCTCTGTCCCTCCGTTTTGGCATGAGTATTCATGGTCGGTTGTTTGTGTGTCTCTTCCCGTTGACTATGTATCTTGGATGGGGAACTTGATGGTGTCAAATCCTTCTTGATTATAGGTTCCTGGACCATGGGCTGTGTTTCGCTCCAGTGTGAGCATGATATATATATGCATGTCTATATTGTGCTTTACCAACACCCTGTCAAAAGGATGGACTTTGAGTGAGAAAAGGCTCGAGGGTTGCATCCCACACATATTATTTCTTCCCGCACCGAGGAACGGGATATTTTCCGCTCCGTTCTCATCGTTGATGCTGCATACCCAGTAATGGCGCTTTTGTCCCATGGCTGTCGTCCGAATGAAGAGCATGTGGGAACTAGAGGTCAACGTTCCGCACGACATGCCAGAAAAGAGGACATACGCCCCTTTCTTCCGACGGAGGCACTGAGATGGCAGTGATTTTTTGCGGACTTGGACCGGCAGCTTGCCTCTAGTATCCCTGATATTTCGGCAAGGCTGGGTTAGGCGCATGGTACTGGTGGGGAAAGCCGAGTCAGATCACCAGTCAGCGGCGTCATGTGATTGGCCATTGGCTGGGTGATTGGGGGGGGGGGAAGACAGCCAGCCTCGCCAGGATTCCTGAAGCGCGCAAAAGTCGCCAAACCTCTCACACAATCTACTTACCTTTTTCTTCCTCTGCGCGTCCCGCTCCAGAGCAATAGGTCCAGACAGTCGTAATCTTTCATCTCAATTGCTCCCAGTTCATGAAGCGGCCCAGTCCTATTTCCAAAGCTCAGTTACGCAAAGCTAGCTGGGTTGGGACCAGCCAAATATCTGGTGGATCGCAAACAATGCGAGGAAACAGTTCAAGAAGTCGAAGAGGTATGTCCTATATCTCATTCTTTCTGCGACGTATATGTATTACGACCTAGCCTGGCGGTTAGGCTGACATTGTTCCAGCAGGATGGTATGCTCATCTCCTGTGGAATAACCCGCAAAGCTCAAAAAATTAACACGAACCCCCTTACAGTCTGACATATCTAGCCCGTCATATCAAATGCGACGAAGAAAGGCCCGTCAGCTAATTTTGTCGCAAGTCACAACGTACTTGCCGCCGACCTGATTTCGTTCAATCCCTGCCCCGGGACATGGATTTTCGCGCGAAGAGTGACAAGATATCTGCTGGTTCGTGTGGGATACTTGACTTGATTCCGCGCATTTTCTTCTCGCCCTAGATCAAATGCCGCCTGGCTGACAGGTGGTTAATTTGGGCAGATGCCAATAAGCCTCCTGGCTCTTCTCAATGCCCGGTGTCCTATTTCCAGTCCTCCCTTTCGTCACGCGAGAATACGGCCAACGCGGACGGATTCGGCTCGACATTGGATGGGATTGACGCCTACCCAACATTGGTCAGCGACGGTCCTCAAACGCCTTTGAATCAGATCTTGCTGCCAGCCACGGAGAAGTTGAAATATGCTGCTGCAAGACAGACCGAGTATACCCCGTTTCCAACTAGTCCAGGGTCCTCCGACTGGCTCCCATCGTTCTCACCGCAGAATGCCTTCCTTTTGCGAACCTACGAAACAGGGATAGAGTCCTGGATGGACGTCTTCAACTGCTCGCAGTCGTATCAGCAGGGTGTCCTTCAGTCAGTGCTGCAGTTGCCGCTTCTGCTGAACTCGACCTGTGCGCTTGCGGCTGGTCAGCTCAGCCGGATAACGGGTCCGCGGACCTGGGCGCCAGTGGCCGAGCACTACTACAGGGAAAGTCTAAGTGTGCTGAGATCGTCGCTCAACAACTCTACCGTGAACACCGGGCATGCCTTGGTCGCCGCCATTCTCCCGAGCTGCTACGAATTGATGGCGTTCCCGGGGCCCAACTATCACCGGCACTTTCGTGGCGTCAAGTCGTTCGTTGAGGCGCTGGAGGCGTACAAATTCCCGCACGCATGACGGGGGCGTCGTTCTGGATCTACGCACGTCACGAAGTCGGAAAAGCCATGAACTGGGAATGTCCGAGGACGCAGGATCCCACAGTATGGCCCAAGCGGGACCCGCTCAGACCGAAGCCGCGGGGGAGGATCTCTACTGCCACAACGCTCTGAGACTGTGTGGGGAGGTTGTTCACTTTATTTTTGGTATCACCGACAAGACACCGCGCGGCAAGAAATGGGTGAATCAATGGTCGGCTTTGCACTCGGATTGGAACGAATGGGTTCAAGGGTACCCAAATACACTGTCGGGAAGTGAATATGAAGACCAATGCTTACCCCGCCGATACTGGTGCCCCAGGTCTTCATTCGCAGCAGCCATGTATTTCTACCACATATGTCAGATGTTTCTATTCTCTCGCCATCCCAACAAGACCCCGACCGCCGCCACGACCCAGACACCGGAGCCATGGACCCTGAACCCCAGATCCACCACGCCGAAAATGTCATCGATATCGCTCTCTCGAACATGCCCGACGGCGTCCTTATCACCACGGTCCAACCGGTCTTCCACGCCACCCGCCACGTCCGTAAAGCCGTCAGGAGGGACGAGACCATCCTACTTCTACAGGATGTCTAGAGGAGAACAGGGTTCCATGCCGAGTTCCAGATTCAGATATTGGGCAAATTAAGGCCCTTGATGGCGCCGATGAGAAGCGATGAGATGAGGTAACTGTAGAAGGTTTGAATGTTGTCTTTGTGTTGCATACAAAATGCTATGAAGTGACAGGCAGGCTTTTGTTCTTAAGTTTTTCCGACTCAAAAAAAGGCAAGGCAAGGAAATCGAGTCAAATGGCATGGAAAATAACAGAGCTCCTCCTTCCTCCTCCGCTGCGACTGAACTAAATTATGTTCTAAATTCGAAGCCGTCAGGAATCCCGCAATACCAGTTTGAAAGCCACTGTATCTATCCGCGGCCTCATTACATTCCCACGAGTCGAGCATTGTAGGTCTGCGGCTTGCTGGACCTTCTTTCCTCAACAATTCGGCTATTATACGAAGTTTCAGAAAGTCCAGAGCCAAGACGGCCACAATACTCAGACACTTGGAAGTTGAATGCCGAGTGAGATGGGGCGACGACACAATGCTCGACAGGGCAAAATTGCTGCACCTGGTTCTTAAAAAGTGAGTGGCACAGTCCAACACAGAATATATACGCCAAGAAATGCTCAATGGCGTCAAAGCGACGGCTGTAACGAGTGCAAATGCGTAATAGCATGAGACGGACAACAGGACCCTTCTAGTCTTGAAGCAAAATAATGTAATTTTTATAAAAGAAGGGCACTTTTGAGCTAATAGTGAATCACTCTCCTCTTGTTCTGCAAGCGACCGACTCCAAAATGCCTGGGACAGCTGCAAATCGAAGATTCAGCGTCGAAGCACCCCAACTCCAAATCCACGTGGGCAAGACCGGAGTATATGACAGCTCAACTTGACAAACAGTGCTCCTTGCCCAGCTACCTGGACCAGTGGCGTCTACATTAAACGCTAATACATAACAGGGAAAGGAAATCGTATCAATTAGTACGGCGTCATCGGAAACTATATCCGAGGTCCACTCTGATCGATCGTCCTGTTAAATCTACCGGGGTATGTAAAGTAGCGGCAAACTACGAGGTACAAGTATTAATCAATATTCTCACCATGGGGGCATCAAACCCCCGGCCATCACAATGAATATACCGGTAAGCCTCGTAACGAAAGTTGATCACCCCCACTCGAGGGATGTGTGTATGGGGGATCCACCGCCACACCAAGCGCATCAGAAGCGCGAACAGATCGACCCGATTTGAAGCCCTATACCGCGTAAAGGCACCGGAGTCACAGCAAGAGCCGAGTAGAAAACTACGCAGGACAGCCTTCTGACACGTAGTAGACGCTGTATCTAATGTAGTGGAATAGTACTCAACCACGATGAAGTGGCCGCCATATCAAATATAGCTAATAGTATCGATGAGGCGAAGAGCATCACTTCTTCGAGAGAAACCTGATACCCCTTGTAAATCAAGGCAGCCTTCGATCTAACGGCGAAAGTATTTCCCTTGACCGACGCTCCACGGATCACTATTCCTTCCGAATATGTGCTTAACCGGTTACTTGATATGGTTAACAAAGGAGTGCTCCTCCTCCTGCTCCTCCTGCTCCTCCTCTTTCATCGCATTCTTCGATAGATGCACTGAGACCGGCACCAGTTTACAAAGGTAGGGTTTCGATTTAGCGGAGCCAGTTAGTAGGTAAGCTCCCTCTCGCTAGAATTAAGATTTATGCCTTCAAATAGGCGGGAGGGAAGGGAAGGGAAGGGAAAGGAGAGGCGTGGTTGATTAATTCCTCTGTCTCTGTCTTTCTTGTATCTATATAGTATCTATATAGTATCTAGAGAGGAGAGAGCCTCGTTCCACGGCCATTTTTACTAGGCCTTAATCCCCCCATGGATAGTATTTCAGCGACGAATCTGCGCCTTATTTAGCATCCGTTTTGAGCTGTTATTGGATCAGAGCAGCCCAACGGTGTTTCAAACGGCGCCCGAGAATACCTACTACCAGTCTCGATCGTGTACCCTCCTGGATATGTGCAGGCTACGGAACAGGTACTCTGTTGTACACAGAATGAGAGTGGATCTATCTGATTGATTGTGTCTTCTCTGTCTGTCTATTCAGAGAGACTCTGTCTGTTTATATACACTTTGGCCTGTGATTTGAAGGCCATTCCTGAAGCCTCCTATTCCGTCGTCATGCCATTGCAGAACGGCGAAAACAACGGTGTAGAGGTAGGTGGCGCAGTTCATGAGACCGCTAGCGTCTCAGGTGGCTATCGTGCGACCCTGTCAACATACTCCCTCACCTGCTGCTCTCGTGCCTGCCCAGTATGACGGTAACCAGATTCCGGAATGTTACTGCCCATCTGGGATGTATTGCAGCATTCCGGAGAGGAGCAATGGCGAGTTACAATGGATATCTTCTTCTGCTGATGATGTTCCCTTCTAGTGCCTTTTTATCATACAGCATCGCCGTACCGTTTTCGTAAGTCTGCCTCCTAAGTCCAGTGATACCACCTAATAATGAATAGATGTCAATAACATTAGCATTCAGCATCAACCATACTGCTCTAACCATTAGTCATTCCCGCATACGCAAGGATGCTGTTCAGTTACTGGCACACCTATGCGGCAAGCGATCCGACCGGGGCCAGAACTTACAATGAGGAACTGGAGTGTATGCGCTGCGGGAGAGTCCTGTCCGGGAGGCTGGATTGCTTGGTGCTTGGAGCAGCATTAGGCGGGAATAATTGCTAGCTTGCATACCATTTCATCGTATCATAATATTACTCAATCCACTTTGGACAAACTACCGCTCCTGAATTCCCGTGTGCTTCGGAAGCAGTCGACAATCAATAATCATGAAATCCAAGGAATAAAGAAAGTCGAGACCATTTTGTTTTTCTTAAAAAGAGAAAGAGAAGGAGAAGGAGAAGGAGAAGGAGAAGTAAAACGAATAGGACAGCAGTCTGGGAAAGTATTAAAACATGATTGACCAATCTTACCCGGGAGATATAGATGGGCCCTTCCTGCAAAAAGCCAAGCGGAGTATTGGCCTCTCTAACTCTTAATATGGAGCATCATGGCCAGCCTCTTCACCTCAACAAGCTGTTTAGACAAAACGGTAAGTTGTTGTTTCCATTGACTGGCGTGTCGTAACGCAGGTGAACCCAATGGATCGAACTCAACTTGCTCCCCAATGATTGTCCGTGTTGAATATCTGGTCGTGCCTTCGCGAATCTCCCGTCCTCGTTAACCTCTCCTCCCGCAAGGGAGCTTGAACTGACCGTGAAAGTCTCCCAAAATGGCAAGATAAACACCGGCAGCGGTATTTGCCTAGGATGTTTGATGAGATATAGAAGACATTTTGACAAGGCGAAAAATTATTCTGTGTACCTATATCGCAGGGTAGCTAGACTGCCTAAGTATGGTAAGGGGGAATTGAATGGTGTCTCCAGAGCGCATGAAGATGCCCGGAAGTCACAATTGGCCGGGCAAACCGACAAGCCAACTCAAGTAGACGACTTTGCGTTCAAGTTCCGTCCGTTGTCGTACACGCGGTCCCCGGTCCCGTTGATGATGTGGTTGATGGCGCTGAATGGCTTCCCATTAAGCCACTGCGTAACCATGTGGTTGAGCTGGATTCCCGGTCCCGTCGGTGTCTCGATGGCATTATCGAGCTCGACTTGATTGTCGAAATTGCAGTAAATTCCGAGACCTTTGGCAGTATGGGAGCTGACCTGATCTCCCACCTTGTAGGACGCGTACCCCTTATTCCCAGTAGGTTGTTGCCAAGAAGCCTGGTCGGGAGGATCGTACGGGATCTCGGACTGGTACATGTAGACCTGGCCACCGTTTCCGTTCCAAACGGTCTGGAAGTTTTGGAAGTGTTCGACGAACAGGCCGTAGGCGACCACATTCTGTCCTCGCACCGTCAGCCCATTCTCAGCTGTATTGACAGTCCAGCCGACGGTGCCAGAGTTGCCGTGGTCGGCACGCCAGATCCAGATGTTGTCGAGGATCACATTGTTGGAGTTGATGGTGAAACAATTTATTGTCGAGCCTGGAGTAGCACCCCCAACACGGCAGGAGAGATCAAATAGCGCGGTGGGATTTGCACTGTGATCAGCTGTACTATCCACACCTCCTACGGTCAGAAGCTGGGAGGACCGAACGGGGCCTGCATCAAAGATGATCCCGCAGACCGATACGCCGTCGACGTCGTCGACTGCCATAGCCGGAGTGCCGTTATCAGGGACCAATGTAGCCATTCCAAGACCAAGGATCACGGTATTGGGGTGCTTGACCTCTAGGCTTCTAGAGAGATGATAGACACCTGGCGTGAGAATCAGGTGGTAGCCGTGACGAAGAGCACTGTTCATGGAATCGGCGGTGTCTGTGCCTGCTTGGGCGATGTAGAATTGATTGATCGGTATAGTTGTGGCAGAGTCAGGGATGTTGGACCAGCTTGTACCTTGGCTCTCCCTCTTCAGGCTGGGAACTCGCACCGCGTAGTCATTCTCGAAAATAAGGTAGGGCTTTTCACGGATGCAAGGGGTTTTTTGTATCACTGTGAAAGGTTGGTCGGGCCATGATTCGGATGGAGCTTGATCATCGCCAACGAAAACCATGTTCCAGACACCTCCAATCCAGCTAAAGTTTTACAACGTCATGTTAGTAAGTGTCTGCGAGACTTGGCTGTCAATTTTTCCGCATCCTTCAACGCATCTGTCCTGTCTCTGCACCATATGTCCAACAGGTCCTGTGGATATATCGTTCCTTGGACGGTCTCAAACACTACCAGAGGAAATATGACAGACTTACTTCGTGATAGTCGTATTGCGGGTCAAGAATTGCTGTTGGGAGCCGGAAACGATCTGATTATCAACAAGAGAGTCTGCAATGAAGCCGCCGCTGGAATAGTTCCGGTCTGATGGGTAGCGCCAGTCAAAGAGGAAAAGCTGGCCGCGAATGACATGCACGCGGCGCAAGAAGGTGGCCTGAGAAACGGCCCAGCCGCTGATGTCTCCATTGGTAGTAGGCACGACAGAAAGATTCTCGACGCCGCGCCAGAAACTATTCAAAGCCAGACCTTGGGTGCTTGTCGCCAGTGATTGCACACTACCGGTGACGATCACGTCGTTAGGGGAGTGACCTAACCCGTGAACAGTCATGTAGTAACCCACGTCCACGTTCAGATTGTACGATCCCGGTTTGAAGAGATATGCATGGCGCCCCGGTCCAAACTGGCTTGTGTCTTGACTATGAAATATGGGTGCCATCGTCGAGGTGATCTGAGCCATGGGCATTGAGGGATCGAAAATATGGACATTGGGGCCAAAGTCAACCGGCGTCGGGGTGTTGGGTGTTGGACGGACTGATGTGGCCATGTTGTTTGGTGATTTGATTTTGTAATTAGGGTAGTGAGCGGGGGGTTGATGCTAGAAGTTCAGCGGGCGAAATGATCGATTTCCTTTGCCTTTGAATGTTGCGTGAACGACGAGGTGGTCGGATTGAGTAGTGCGGTTGGGCTCTTTTAAGCTTCAAAAAGGACTACCTGATTGCTTCCAGTTTTGTCTTGGTAGTGCACTCACACCACTTTCTTTCAGCTGCGGCTGGCGTTTGCCTCGCTCGTGCAACACACCCACATTCAGAAAGAAAAAATGAGAGGGATCAGGCAACATAGTCTGATCCGAGCCAGAGCGACGTTGTGTTTCGATATTGAAATTCGTGTGCAGGCTCAGGCTCCAAGGCTTCCTCAGCTGATCAAAAACGATTCGCTCATGGAGCTCTACCACCGGGGATCCTGCAACCGGTGAAGCAGGTCCGAGTAGGACACAAAACCAAGCTGACGGGAGGGGTCATTGTTACGGCAGCCTTGGCACGGCGCGCCGGAATACGCATATAGCTAAGTAGCCCAGTATTCTGCTATGGAATACCAGAATTACTAGTCTTTTTGATTAAATGACAAGGGGCGGTGGGCTACTCTTTGATATTACCAGCGACGATTCGGAGGTTGGTGCATATATGGATATCAATAAAATCAGGATATGATTGAGGTATGTGAGCACACCTATTCATCTCTTGGCATTCTGTTGTATACTGCGCGTTTCCTTGGTGTTCATGGAGTTCTTTGTTTTCTACGGCATGGTCGCCGTTAAAAGAGCGTCAGGCTGATAAGGCTCTGTCTCTTAGCCGGGTCGCACCGTAAGTGGAAAACGCTAAGGTCATAGCCATTTTACCTATAGATTCGTGGCGGCAGATGTTCTGAATAACTTGAGCATCGAACCACCTACATTGTGTCTTCTATTCCTTCATCCACAACTTTGTAGCGGCCCATTCCTCGTATATTCATGTATCTCCGACTCTATTCCGGCAGGAGATGCCCATACAATGACCCTATATGTAGTTGGTATTTTCTCAACCGAAGATTTGACAGGGACTGAATGGCGAATCAGATATAAATTATCTCCTAACAGAGGAGGAATGGCAATGGCGGAAAAAGGCTTCTTCTGAAGGCATACTGAACTGTCAATTTTCAAAGGCCCTAGCTCACGATTTGATTGTTATACATAGGTCTCTCAGATTATGTTACTGAGTCTGCAGATGTTGCAAGCCCGGCAGGCAGTGTCACAATTTGGTCGGTTTGCGTTCCATTGGAAGAGCTTTCTACCTTGATTCCATCCTCTCAGTCCGGCCGACTGCTAAAGAGATCTCTTTTCACCTTGTACAGCATCGACAATTTCATCCACCAACAGATGCCACCCTCGTTTTCGTGCTGCTTCGGATTTCAGAGAGCTTTGGATTCCGGGCAACCGCTGCTGTTTGTCGCGATGAACCAGCTCCACCAGGCTTCCCACGGCCAGTGTTGCCAACGTGGGTAAGTCGGTCATGCAAGATGAATTCTCAGAATGGGTCCGAATCGCGCCTTGAAGTGGCAACGTTCTTGGAGGCCGATCGGTCCATGGGAATTGTCTGCGCCAAGACGTTGCATCGGTTGCTTCCCACATGTTATCATCGTAAGGTAAGTAGAGGTCCAGCTCGGCGAAGCTGAGCCGGAAAGGGGATTGTGCGCGAAGGTGATACAAACTATGAATGGCCTAGGCACATGTTACCAGCAATGTTTTTGGCGGGGGGATGAGAAAAGTTAGGCTTACCACGACGGCCCATCCAAGCCGTTTACGTTTTTCTGCTGCAATCCACTCCAGCCACTGCCTATGGATTATTGTACCTTCCAGATCCTGATCCAACAGTTCTTGCGGACTGAGGGAGCAATCCACTGTGCTGAGGTCTGAGGGGGATGTCGCACTGCCGACTTCCGAGTCACTGTTCAGCCCGTGGTCGGAGTAGAACACAGACGCGTTCCGCGCGGTAGTGACCATGCACGCCTGACCAGCGAGGGCCCAAGGGCGAAAGATCCCAGAGCGGTCGATGATGATGAAAAAATATACAATGCATTGGCACAGAAGTAATGTCAGTGGGTCGCAAAGTTTGTGAGCTCCCTGCGAGCCGCAGGATTTCTACGTCCCGAGTCAGCTGTGGCACTCTGCTGGCGACCGGCCTCGGATATAGACGTACACATGAGAGGATCATACAGATTCTAGCAAAGACACGAACATAATACTCTGTATCCCCGGGTCCTGAGCTGTAACTGGCTCCGATCGCAGTGATCACGCTGACCAAAAGCGGGGGGCTTTTCCCAATTTGGGTGGAAGCGCGGTGTACAACCGGGAATTTCTAGGAAAACGGGTTCAGCGAATAACTTGACACTGATCCAGGGGCAATATGTCTGTTACCTTGTGAAAGACTTTGAAATATTGGTTCCAGAACTTGAGCATATCCGCATCATTCATTTTAGGCACATCAAGAAGAAGGCTCTTGTGCTCTGGTGAATCGAGAGTGTCCAGGACTCTCAGTACCGTACCGAATAGGTCAGCTGGGTCGCTGTGTAAGTAAGCACTGGTCTGGACCTCACTCCTTTCTTCTCTCCCAGACGGAATTGGATCACTATAGCTGATGTCTGCACTGCCTCCCATGTTATTGAATAGAACTTCAGCGTGAGGAGGCTCAAATGGTAGATCACTTTCCCAATTGAACCACGACCAAGGCGTATCGCTCGGACGCAGTTCCGTGATACTGTCTCGATTTTGATTTGATGTAGTCTGGTGCAGCCGGGAAGGGACGTGCTCCAGGCCCGTCTCCTGTGGCAGTTGCGGGTCGAAATGCATGGTGTGTTCTCGTAATGAACGTGGAGAATGGCAGATGATATGTGTAGCTAGCTGTGTCTGTGAAGTGGTGTCAGCAACAATATTGAGATTGCATGCGCCATAGAGGCACCACGATGGAGCAGACTCCCTGATCGGCTTCATAAGGTGAATCACCGGCTTCGAAGCGGTACCCGTAGCGAGGGGTTTTGTAATCTGTTGAGGCTTACCGGTCCGTTTGTGGTGGTGGCTTGACACTCTCGTGGATTATCATCAGCAGCTGAGGCCTGAGTATCAACCGTGACTGTTAAAGATAAAGGCGAATCGTCTCCGCCCACAGGTCCTGATAGCTCTGCACTGGGAGCTGTTATCGGGTGGCGAGTCCCATTTTCGTCTGGACTTTCGATGCCGTCGACGGCGGCAGTCGTGAAGTCTTGTGATGGGCCATGATTCTCTTTCGTAGAGAAGTGGAACTGGCAGATAATCCCCTTCCTCTCACACTGGGCGCAAGAGGGAGCACCACTGCATCTGATCTTGTAGCTGCCGTAGCCCACGCGAGTTAGAAGCAGAGACTTTCCTGAGGCGACCATCCCGGGGTCGGGAGAGAAAATACGTACAAGGCACACCGAAGACAGCTCTTCCGGCGACTCCTTTTCCTAGGCAGCTCCACCGAAGCGATTTGATGCTTTGCCTTTGTGTGTCGGGTCAGGACATCCTTTCGCGAGAAGCTTTTGGCACAGAGCGGACACGTGACTGGATTGGCCCGCCTGGAGGAGAGATGGCGAGCACTGGACGAGGCCTGGGCTGTATCTTCAATCATGTTACCCTCAGAGGTGCGTTTCTATACTTATGGAGAGACCGATGTTGGCCACATACACGTTCAAGGGAAGTTGAGCCCACACTTCGCGGGCCGCCAGATGGCTGGCAGATGTCGATTCCGGGAGTCCAACCGACCGAGGTTGACACGGCGGGCCTGGCGGGGTCGTCCTGCGTATGTGAGGGGTCGTCAGCTGCCCAAGTTTGGAAACTTAACCAATCCTGGTCAATGACGCCCGGTAATTGGCCATGAACCTTCCTACGTCCACTGGGTCCGCTCCTCGTCATAACAGCAACCCAACAGGCCTCTTATTGAGATTCTCTCTGTGTTGTCGTTTTAAGCGTGGACATGTCAGCATTCCGGTGAGTTGGAACCCCCCCCCCCCCTCCCGTCTTCCGCACATTGGTGTTGGTTTCTGTGCAACGAATCATCATCGCCCACCGCCATATTCAGCCGCGTGGAAAGGCTAGATGATACTGCTAGTGATGTTGGATCCGGAAAATCTCGCAAAGAACTTGTTAAGAGGATCGCTCTGCCGCAATCATGAACTTGCCGACATCCCCACACCTCGTGGAGCCTCGAGCTTCAAGCTATGGTCCAAGTCATCAGACAACAAGCAGCGCAGAACTCGAAAGGAAGTTCAATGATTTGGAACAGCGCCTCGCCGAGGTGCGACAGCTGGCCATGCAGAGCTTGCAAGGCCTCTCCAACCAGAAGTGGGCGGATTTCGAGGGCCTTGACGACTTTTACGATCATGACCGACGGGACCATACCTTGAGCGATTTCCTTGACTTTGGTGTTGTGTCGGCGGAAGGACCGACCTCGCCACCGTCCCATCAACAGCTGGGGACCAGTCGGTCATCAGAGGGCACGACGAGCCTCCAGTGGCACAAAGCTGTCGAAAGAGCCGGCACCGCTCGGCGACCGTCGCGGCTGCCACCCCAACCCTCGATATATGACATGGATCTTCTGGAGCTTCTCGGCTCTGTAAGATACAAACTTCTGAGGCAATCCATGACTCCAGAGCAGCCCCAGCAAAGGTCAGTTCTCTCGAATTCTTTCTGAGAGGCCAAGAAAACGATAGAATGCGTGCTAATGACTAGACGCAGCCTTGATACTTTGGTGCAGAGAATGCTGTATCTACTGGCATCAGACCGATATTGGGGTAGGAAAAGGGTATTCTGGTTCGAGACGTTGGCTTTCGAAAAGTTGGCTCCAATCACTCGCTATCAGATCCTCCCCACTGTTGAACATTACTGTGCAATCCAACCAGAGTTTCAGCCAACACAACTACAATTAACCAGGCATCATTGGCCAATGGTCGACTGGATTCCGTTCCCGGGACTACGAGACAAAATTATCCTTCACGCCCATGAGATTGACCTTACGGCTGTGGTGGAAGGCACCCTAGACAGTTGGTGCTTAGAATCAAAAGAAGAAGTGCCTTTTGAGGACGGCCATCGCGAGATCCAGGTATATTATCGTCTCTCAGAATATATTGATTACAGACGACAACAATCCTCACTCCCGGCTTCTCTACTTGGCAGGATGTCGAAATCCGTGGAGACAGAGTTTGTCCTCGCTCTTCGCCAACCGAACCAAGTCTTCAAGTTAGAACAGTCGTACTTCGACCGCTTTCCAATGCTTTTCACCGAAGATGCTTTGGTAAAGGGCCAATATAGGCCAATCGTCCTCCAGCCGGAATCCCCAGAATCAGATGCGCTTGACGTGCCGATGATGGGAGATTCCCACACGCAATGAATGCCAATCTGAAAGAATGTGTCGTCAAAGAGTGACATTTTTCAGCAGACGCGACTGGTTCTTATTCTCGGGAAATCGGGTTATTTCTCTGTAACAACTCTGTCCGGCTTGCAAGGGAGCGTTATCTATTCTCCATTTCCTTCACAGCAGCGCAATGGCATTTGGCGGAGATCCAACACCCCCCCGGACATACAGCGGGGCGCTCGTGAACAAGAAAGACCACTGGTTCTGCTTCTTACACAATTCGCTCAAGCCCTCTAGGTTCCAAAGCTCCCCCAGGGGCATCCCCCAGTGAGCAAGAATCCATTCATGAAGGACAACTGCTCCTTTTTGCCCAAACGGAACGGGACATTGCTCAAACCCAATTGAATCAGTTGCGACGGCAGCAAAGTGCTCATTCCATAAAAAGCGTGCCATCTCCATGCTTCTCTCGACACCTATAAAGGCGGTCTGGTCAAGCTTTTGCTTTCGTTCTTCTGGAGAGGCGGCATTATACCACAGGGTGAACCCGCCACGAAGGAGAAGAATATCTCCAGGCTGGAATTCGACTTTTTGATGGTTTGCCACCGCCTTTAGTTCTGAAACTGTTATTGAGTAAGGAGAGTCCGCAGGCACCGGACTTTGTCCTGTCTCCTGTCGCCATCGAACATAATCAATCAACACTCCTCTTCCAACTATGCCGCCTGCCTCGACCCATTCTGACCATGTTAGTAGTGTATCTCCGGCTTTCACTGAGAACATACTGTGTATCCCATTCCGGCCATCACGGTTCTTCATGATATCCTCATGTTTCAATCCATTGTAATATACCTCTTGTTCCTGGAGACCGCAGTGCGTGAGACCGTCCCATTGAGATGATGACTGTGTGTTAAATTGTAGCTCGTCATCATGGCCGACCCCCATGTTCATTTTCTTGAAGTCGATAACGGTCTGTTTGAACAACCTTCTATTGGCAATAACATAATCGAAGGCGTCCAAAGGAAGGTCCAAAGATACACTGATTCCGGCTTTGACCTCTTGGGCAGCCCTCTTTCGGCTTTCCGGAGTGATTTTGTTCAGCGCTGTTCGGCCCTACTGGTTAATGAAATCCTTCGATGAAGATGCTTCTGATGGTGTGAGACGCACTGCCAAGTTGATCCTCTTGGCCCCAAAGACCCCAAGAGTTTCCTTGAGGCTGACCTGGAACTCTTGGCAAATCATCGAAGTGTGGAATACTCGTCTTCGACATCCTGGAATATAATGATTTGTACAGGAGTGCATTCAGAATACTCCGCCGAATATGCACAGACCTGAGCCCCTACTTCAATAATTGTTCCCTTGCATGTGACTATGCCGTCGGTCTACCACCACCACCACCACCACCACCATCCACCTCCGGTTTAGAACACGGCGGTGGCACCGTTAGGTCCAGCCTCACAGTTTGGTTGATCCACATATTTTACCTTTGCTCCAAATAAAGTCTTTGCTTCTCGTGGTCTAAGCAGCTCAAAATGCTCACTGGGATACATCGATGGTCCCTCGCAATTTTTCCTAGTTGATCTTGTGGATCGTATCAACTATTGCCCTACACAATGGGATCCATCCCAGAAGATCATACCTCTCACCTCAGTGGTCCCAATGGGGATGTGCATGCTTCCATTCCGCCCAACCTGGAAGATCTCCCCGATCTCTACGGTTGGCCTCGAGAAAATGAGAGGGGCTACCGCATTCGAGAAATGCCTTCGGAGTCTTATAGACCCCTTCGGGTTGTCGTATTGGGCTGCGGAGCCTCGGGGATATCTTTTGCGAAATTCGCACAGGATGATCTGAAGAATGTAGACTTTGTCTTGTACGAGAAGAACAGTGACGTTGGCGGAACATGGCTAGAGAATCGATACCCGTAAGTCATTCTTACAGCCTTTCTACTTGATCAGGGGATTAAACGGGCTATCATAAACAGTGGATGTGCCTGCGATGTTCCAAGTGTCACGTACCAGTTCACGTGGGAACCCGACACTTGGTCACATTTCTATTCCGAATCTCCTGAGATACAACGCTACTTTAGACGGGTGGCTGAAAAGTACAATGTTTTGAAGTACACTAAGTTAAATCATACTGTCACGAACGCGCTCTGGGACCAAGAGAGTGGCAAGTGGAAGATCACTGTCCGTGACGAGGTCACAAAGTTGACATTCGTGGATGAGTGCGATGTTTTCATCAATGCCGGAGGTCCTTTAAAGTAAGTTGAAGGCTCACAACTCTGTTCTCTATTATCTTGTGTCAACTAATGCAGTGGCTCAGTCATTGGAATATGCCTGAAATCGATGGAATAGAACGATTCAAAGGTGTCCTGGCGCACACTGCCAATTACCCAGAGGGACTCGACCTCAAGGGAAAGAGGGTCGCAGTTTGTGGCATTGGCTCCAGTGGCATACAAGTTATTGCTTCCATCCAGAAGGAAGTGTCCAAATTGTATACTTGGATAAGAAGTCCTACTTGGGTCCTTGGTTCATTTGGAGCGAAGTACATGCGAGAACCAGATACCAATTCAGCTTGTAAGTCGCAGGAATTATCTGATCTGCAGCTGCTGACAAAACTGTTACGAAAAGATACTGAAGAAGAACTTCGGCTTATGCGACAAGATCCAACAACCTACTTGAAGTATCGAAAGAATATCGAGCTAAGTATCAGTGAAGGGTTTAGCGTGTTTTTCAAGAATACACCAGAGGCGAATGCCGCGAGGGAGGTTCGTCCATTAACCGTCTTGACGTCTTCAATATCGCTGACCGGATAGTTAGATTGCCACAAAGGAAATGCGTTCGAAATTGGCATGTCGGCCTGCTATTGCTGATGCTCTGATCCCAAAGGATTTCCCTGTGGGATGCAAGAGACCTACGTAGGTGCCCAACTCCCTGGAACTTTAACCCGATAAGTCTCCTGACAGCCTCTAGGCCTGGAATAGGATTCTTGGAAGCACTATGTGCTGAAAATGTCGTCACCTATCCGGGCGGACAATTGACAACCATCACCGAAAAGGGGTTCCTCAACCCAGATGGGCAAGAAGAAGAGGTCGATATCATTATCCTAGCTACAGGATTCAACACTACCTGGATCCCTCGGTTCCCGATTATTGCAAACTGCAAAAATCTCCAGGATATGTACAAAGAGAACCCCCTATCGTATCTCGGTATTGCGGCCCCAGAGATGCCAAACTACTTTACCTACTATGGACCTTACGGACCCCTTGGCCAAGCCAGTGCGGTAGTAATGATCGAGTTCTTTACACGATATTTCAACGCGGCGATTCGGAAGATTCAGGCAGAATGGATCAAAAGTCTAGCGCCGAGGATGGATGTCGCAAAGGAATTCCAGGAACACGCCGATCTCTACTTGAAGCGAACCGTCTGGGACTCTAACTGTCGAAGTTGGTGGAAAGGAGGCAAGGTTGATGGGAAGATCATGCTTTACCCAGGATCGCGAACTCAATAGTTTGTCACCCCCTTTCCTATTATCCTACCTCAACTTTGGAGTATTCTCGGGCTAACTTTTAAACACTTAACAGCATGGAACTCATTAGTAGCCCGAGATACGAAGACTACGATATAAAGTACCATGATATGAATCGATGGGCTTTCTTGGGCAATGGATGGTCGACCAGAGATTATGACGGGAGAGATATAACATGGTTTTGGGGCATGGTAAATGGCAAGGATAAGAAGGAAGAATATGAGCTAAATTGGAACGCCTCTGCGGAAGGCTCAGAAAGCCAATAACAGCAGGACGATCAAAAAGTGCAAGACTTGTTGATCTCGCCCAATACGCTTTGAAAGATGCACCAAGCTCAAAGTAGACAGAGCAGAGTAGTGGTCACGATGGAGAGGGTCCTTTTCTGCAGGAAATGATAAGCTGAACCTGCGACCAAACTACGTGTTGCGATCCGCCTCCGATCAGCCCAAGCTTTTCCATTGAAGGATTCTCAAGAATTATTCTTGGAATGTTCATGTTTCCGGTTAGTGCCACATTTGCATCCCGGTTGACGCCACCGTTGCATCCGGTTTATGCCACACTTGCAGCCAAGCAATGACCCCTGCAAAACCAGGTCTTATACGGAATTCCAAAGTGGCGTTGGCAATAGCACTGCGGTGGTTGGACGTGGTCGAGAAATTTTTGTGGTGCCCCTAATCAATTGCTTTCTCAAGCTTTGATCCGATCTCGATGGATGATGAGTCCTTAACTAGCCGAACGCTTGAAAATATCTACATAATCTACCCCTCCTCGGAAAGAGCAGCAATGTGAACCACTATTACGCGCCTCACCGGAGTTCCTTGAAGAGGCCAGACTCAAGCTTTCAAGATGGCTCAACCACAGTCAGCAATTGTCACCGGGGGATCCTCGGGCATTGGGAAAGCCACAGCTCATAAACTAGCTAGTCGAGGCATTAATGTTCTTATAGCTGATATCAACGTCACCGACGGAGAGAAGGTGTCGAAGGATTTGAAAGCTAGGTATGGTGTTGACTCGGCCTTCGTCAAGCTTGACACGGCTCTGGAAGCGGACGTTATCAACATGGTGAATACGGCAGTGAAGTTGTGGGGTCGAATCGATTGGGCTTGTAACTGTGCGGGCAAGGCTGAACTTCTGACTGAGGGCGAGGAAGGGGTCACAGAGAAAGTCTTCGACGAGTGAGTCATCTTGTAACCCAAAGATTTGGGACGCTCTGGGAACTTATAACGTAACACAGGATGTACCAAATCAACCAACGAGGCACCTGGTTTTGTCAAAGGCACGAAGCGGTACAAATGCGGAAACAAGAACCTCGAATCATCTCCTTGATACCCTCCGAGAGGACGGTTGAGACTCGAGGCTCGATCGTCAATATTTCCTCTGTCAACGGAATCGTTGGTCTGGGGCAGCCTGGTTATTCGTCGGCAAAGGCTGGAATCATTGCATTTACGCGGACTGGAGCACAGTTCTACGGAAAGGATAAAATCCGCATTAACGCCGTCCTCCCGGGATCTATCCGAACGGACGCCATGGGTGTCTGGCTCGAGCAGCTCTCTGAGGACAAGAGAAAGTTTGTCTTGGAGGGGCTGGTAAACTCGACACCGTTAGGGAGACAAGGCGCACCGGAAGAACTCGCCAACGCCGTTTCTTACTTCCTCAGTGATGAAAGTACTTATGTCAACGGGACTACCTTGATAGTTGACGGTGGGTTGATGGCTATTAAATAGCGAAGGTAATATTCACTGTCAAACGGAGGCGGGCTTCTCAAGACTGGCAATGTAGCAGCTAAGGCTATCCAGTGAGAACTAATTCCATGCATTGTATACACTGCTCTACCACACCTTCGACCTTAATCTTCCCTCGTTTAAAGGCCGATATTTGAGCGCTACGTGCCAAGGCGCTGCTGCTAAAAATGATATTCGATAGTTTGAGCACATTAGGAAACTCTCTTCTCGTGCCCTGTCTATTTCATACTTTAGTTATTTCCTTAATCTCTCCAGCGAGCATCGTTAATCGGCTATAGGTTCAGCAACAGATGACGTTTTCCGTTGATGCTTAGCTGATGTCAAACTACACACTGGAAATCCCTTGAGGATGCTGAGGAGCTGAAAGCACAGGATAGTCGGCATTGGTAGAGAAGCTGGTCCTTGGGTGGTAAACGGTATGCCCGCTTGCGCCTTAGAAATCACCGCCATGATAAGCGTTCTAGCTTACGGTGGTTCCGCGGCTGTTCGGCAGAAAAGTATGGTGGTCTCCGGAGCAATACCACAACGTCACCAAGGAACAATGGATAAATGAACTGATTCTGTGAAGCCGAATGCGGGCTACTGCTGGTAAACACCCATCCTACAGACAACAACAACAAAATGGCTGGCTGGGTATTGTCTGAAGTTTCATCCTCGAGAATACTCGGCACGATTATCCATTATCGGGATTCACTCCCACTTATTTCCCTGATAGCACTCATTAGCTATGTCGTGGTAAAATCGATATACCGTGTGTACTTCCACCCCTTGGCCAAATATCCCGGCCCTTTTTGGGCCAAAGTCACTTCGCTCTACGACTTTTACCAAGCGTTGTCTGAGCATCGTGCACACAACTTCCTTGCCCTTCATAAGAAATACGGTAGGTGCAATGCATATTGATGAGGTTGAGTAACTTAAAATAACGAAAACCACAGGCCCTATAGTGCGATATGCTCCCGATAAACTTGTTTTCAACGAGCCCCAAGCATGGCAAGGTAATGTCCCAGCCGACCGGAAAGTATTAAGATTTATAAGGTCATATTGACCCGTCTTGCAGACATTTATGGGTACAAAGCCAATGTCCGGAAATCTGACCTGTTCACCGCATCTCAATCGAACCCCGAGTCTACTGACACCTTCAGCGAACTATACAAGGAGCCAGCTCTGAAGAAAAGGAAGGTCTTGTCATATGGGTTTTCGGAGAGCTCGTTGCGATCGTTTGAGGGTAAGCATGACCATAAGCCATCAACGACAGCTTTGTCTAATGATTGATAGCGTACATGCTAGATCAGATCAACATTTTTTGCCGACAGCTGGTGAGCGCAGAGACTGAAAAGGTTAAGGATATGTCTCTATGGTTTAATTATCTGTCGTACGATATCATGGGCGAACTGGTTTTCGGACGGGGCTTCGGAATGCTCACTGACCCTTCGTTGCGATATATACTGGACCTTATCGACTCCACGGTTTTCTCTTATTTATTGGTACGTAACGCTCGGTGTCTGACGGGCGGAGATGGATACTAACCGCTTCAAAAGGGGGGCATCATACCCTGGTTACACAAGTCTGGCATAATAACACTCTTAATGCCTCGAATTTATTTTATGAGGAAGAAATTTGTCGCAGAATCAACCAAGAGAATCGTTGAGAGAATCAAGCTCGGCCCAGACGCAGTCGGGGTCAACGGCCGGAAAGACTTCTTTCACTACGTAAGTCTGAAGCATACTAAGCAGCGAACCTTCAGCTGACGGCGCGGAGCTGCTAAATGGGAAAGACGAGAATGGTAATCCACTTTCACATGCACGTTTAGGCGCCGAGGGTGTTCTCCTTATCCTAGCAGGAAGCGACACAAGTTCTGCATGTAGGTCTGCTTTCAGTACGGCTGATGTATGTTTCTGATCTCGCCACAGCAATGGCTGGAACTCTCTTCTATCTCATGCAACAAGTTCGATGTCAGAAAAAGCTGTTCGAAGAGCTTGATGGAACCTTCGACAATGTTGATGAAATTCGATTAGGCGACAAATTGACGAGTTGTGTGTATCTACGTGCATGCGTTGATGAAGCACTCAGGATGGCATCAGCGGGCCCTGGGGTCTCGGAAAGAACTGTACTCAAGGTGGGCGCCATCTGATTTGTTCATTTCGACGAAGCTGACAAGACCACAAGGGAGGAACAATCATTAACAACGAATATTTTCCAGAAGGGGTAGGTGCACGTTATTACTCCAGCGATGATATTAACATAATCCAGACAACCGTTGGCGCGGGAGGTTGGGCTACGAGTTACAACTCGAAGTACATACGAGATCCCGAGAAATATTGGCCAGAACGACACATACCAAGTGACGAGATTACGGCGGAGGAGGTTCAGATTGCTCACAGTGCTTACTGGCCCTTCGGACTGGGAGCGAGGAAGTGCGTTGGGATGAAAGTTGCGTTGAACGAACTACACCTCACCATTGCAAGGGTTATCTACCTGTTCGAAGTGATATCGGAGAGGCCAGAGGAGTTTCAAAAGAATTTCGAAATTCTTGATCACCAGAGTGAGTAAGGTTCTTCCAGACCAAGCCTTTACTGACATGCCACAGACCCGAAGAAGACTGGTCCTTTTGCCTCTTTCAGACTACGTCCGGGAAGGAAGCTTCCAGACACGAGACCAACTGAGATGCAGGCTGAGGTCCCGGAAGGCATTATAGATGAATCCTCGGTGGCGATGTCTGGACTGAATGTATAGGCAGTAAACGCCCTGCGCAGAGCGAAGGACACCGGCTACAAGCGGCTGGGCAAAGCCTTGGACTACATACCTCCCTGGTGCACGTGAATTGCTTCAATGAGACTGTCCATTTCGAACATACTATTGGCCCCCTCCCCCTTTGAAATTTTTTATTCCGCGTATCCACTGCTCTTCAATACCCCATTTACTTAGGAAAGGCGTTATTGTAGCCTGCCTGTGCTATATACCAATACACATCGAAAGCATTCAAAAATAAAAGATGCGTGTAGCTTTAATCCTAGTCGAGTTTCTTACCGTGCAATATTTCAAAAGCGGAGGATGATAGGACGGGCTGCAAGTACGCAATCCCGCAGCCTCTGGTCTACGAGCAATTCTAGAGCTGAAGGGTTACCCTCGATCTAGACCAAGCTTGGTAAGTAACAACTCCCAGACGGCCGGTGCGTTTCGCCACTGTCTACATGGCGGTGTTCAGCAAAGTGTGGTGGCCAAATCTCCGGTGCCACATTTTTAGGTGTTCCCCACGGGGATTGCACTCTGAGTGCTTGGTAGTTCTCGAGGTCTAGATTGGGGCGTTCCTGAGCAAGGTCTGGGTATATAACTCTGCGTTGGGCCACTTTTCCTGTCGCGTACTAACCAGCCTCAACACCAGCGAACGCTTTCCTCGAAAGGTCTCTTTCTGACCCGCACAGCTTGTTATGGCGACTAAGCAGGAAAAGAATGATATTGACCTTGTCAAAGATGAAGTCGTCGAGTCGGAGTTTGGAGGGCAGGCAGCTTATTACGTCCCCAAA